ATTTTTGTGATTTTTTCGATTTTTACCATAATAATCATGATTCATTCGATTTGTAACCAGTCATGTATTGTAAAAAATTTAATTACAAACATTTTTTTCCTCTTCCATTTTCGCCTAAAATCAACTCTTAAAAGGATACATAATTAAATAGGAAGAAAAATATGACATTTTTCCAATTTTTTTAACATATTGTGCCGCCAAAAGTTAAGCCCACGTTTTTTTTATGCGCATAGAAAAATGTTCATTTCTAGTGATATTTGAAAGCCAAAAAGTCAAAAATCTCCGTGGATATACGATTCACCCAAATATGGCTTTTTGAAACAGATACCGTCTGGACTACAAGTTTAAGCGGTCAAATTTTAGGGTTTAAATTAATCCTAGATTAATACATAGATTTGAAACGGTGCAAACAAAATGTTATATTTTAATCCAAGTTCAGACTTAATACTGGATTAAACACTACGGTGCAAACGGGCATTAGTGTGCAACATGAGTTCTATACAATTGCATCATTTCCTAGGGTGTTAGGTGCCTTTGATGGTACTCATATTAAAATTTTGGTTTGACATATTTTTTTCCGAACATAACTGGACATAAGTTAGCGGCATAATAAAATCCCTAAACAGTATTCCTAAAGCCCAGTTTAATTTAATCTACAATCGGCAGTAAGTGGTTCTAAAGCTGATTATTAAAACCTAGTTTTAAAATTAAACCAAATTCAGTTGAACTTGGCTTAAATTCTAAACGGTGCAAACGGGCATAAGAAATATCTGTTATATTGAAAATATAAGAATTGACCTAAAATTCTGATATATAAATTTTCTTTGCTAATTAATTTAATGACAATTGAGTGAAAAACTTCAAATATATCAGATTAGTATGACATTAATTCATGTTCACATAGGGTGTGTCTTTATATTATATATGAATCAATTCATTCTTACATATTACATCAGGGATTAGAGTCAATAATTACGTTCCCACTAATAAATAATACAGTAGATCCCTGGAAAAATATTAGCGTACTTGCCTACCCATGTAAGTATAAAAGTATTATGTAAAAAAACATTTCTTTAATATCTATGTGAGAAATGACCTTTATATATTAGTCTGAAGCTATTAATGATAATATGGCTACCGCATAAGTCTTTTGAGTGTCGTGAAAAGATTATTATTTTGTAAGGAAGTTTATCGGGTACGGAGGTACGTCTAAAAGTCTAACGAGAGTTTCTGTACATTCGCTAGTGACTAAAGTAGTAAGCCTTTAGATTTGGCAACGTTGCACTTGGCTGGCTTTGTTTGGATGCCTAAGCTTGAAATATATATCATACGGTTCCTTAGATATCGGTTTCCTATTTATACAAGTTGCTGTGGAAACTGTTCGTCGATTGTTGCGCATTCTAAGTGGAAAGACCAAAAAAATCTGCATTCTCATAAGACTCTGTACTAAATCGTGAAAAATTATTTTATTAATATCTCGTCTCAGGTATCCAAACTAGTCATAATTTTTTTTTGACGGTTTTCTTCATATTAATAAGCTTATATTAATTTTTTTATGAATATTTGTTCGTCAATTCCAAATCAGATAAACCTCCTTAACATGCAACACTAGATGTTATTTGATATTTTTATGTCACTGTTGATGTTAATATGGTTTTCAATGACAATTTTATCAGATACCTACCTTAACCATATATTTATCAGCCAAAGCCAATATGGGCATTACATTGGTATGCGTAATTAATATTTTCCCAGTATAGAAATATTCCAAAAATATGTGAAATACAGCTTCGCATATAGGCATTTCCTGCAGTTCTACTCGGCTTTCATGCCATTCACTCCATTCGGGTTTCATGAGCATAACCTAGAAAAGTACGATTACATAAAAATTTAACAAATCACATACTCAACCTGCCTGGAAGACATCACTGGATGCACACAGAATCAGTCTGTGGGTCCCATATTCCTTGTTTCCTACTTTGAGGAAAACATCACACATTTCTTTGTTTATATAAAGCTTTCTTAGTACTTTCAGGATGTTATCCGAATTGTCTATCTGAACAAAAAAGATAAAAATAAACATAAAAGGGGGGGCATATAACAATGCTCTAATAGTTCAACAATAAGAAATATGAAATGAAATGATTGAATATGGTTTTAACAATAATATTAAAATTAATGTCTTACCGTCATTTGGCAGGAATCATCTCTAGTTTCCTCGTCATTCATTACATTTTTGCTACTTTTAGGGGATGGTTCTGTATCGTCATCTCCAGATCCAGGCCTGAACATTTTGTTACTTTTAAACGATTCTGAGACGAGACAAAGAGGGTCACGTAAATATTTTGATAAGTAGGTATTTATTATCAAACCTTAACAAAATTTTGAATTATAAACTATTTAATTAAATTCTTCCACGTCTTCCGGACATTGTGTGTTTAATGTCACTTCACAAATCAAGTATATTACATATACAGAATAATTATTTATTCCTTCATGGATTAAAATATATTAATAAAAAGTTATAAGAATCAAGTATACAACAACAAACAACTCTTTTATCTATGACCATTCTATGACTACAAATTTGCAGGTTAGCACTTTGCAGGGTTGCCAGTGCTTAGAAAAAAATTGTTTTATTGATAAATGTCATTCTAAAGAATCCAATAAATCTGGGATTGATCCAACAAAACGCACCTTGTGTTTCTACTTTCTACATATGATGCGACAAATTGGCACGTGAAGGGGATAGGTTCGCGCGCTTTGTTTTGGAGTCCATGGTCCATGTAGCACTGTGGCAGTAACCCGTATCACTGAAGTGTGGTTATATGTGTTTTGTTATTTTACGTTTAAGTTTAAAATGAGGGTTTGTGAA